CTTTTATTTTTAAGAGTGAAGACACCTTCATATAGGTTGGTAGGTTTATAAATAAAGGTTATTTATTGGCATCGATGGTACCATGAAGAAGCTTTAACATCCATGGAATCTTTCCATTTCACAAAAGGTTCTTTATTGTGCAAAAAGGTTTATTAGATTATTAAAATGTTCTTCACTCTTAGAAAAGAGGTTATTTTAAGAACTTCACTGAATGGATCTTTGAGGAACCAAAAATAGTTCTTCAATGGCATCACTGTGAAAACCCCCACGTTTATTGGTATTATGGTTCCATGAAGAAATTTTCCATTGCACAAAAGATAATCTAAAGGTTCTTTAGATTATTCAAATGTTCTTCAGACTAAGAAAATATCACTAATGTCTGTTCACTGAAGGTTTCTTTGAAGAAACCTAAATTGTTCTGTGTATGGAATCACACGAAAACTCCTTTTGGAACCTTTATTTTTAAGAGTGAAGAAACCTACAGGCTACCACATTTTCAAATTGAGTTATGAGGGAAAAATAAATAATTTTGATCTGTTCCTCAACTAAATACGGCACTCCAGTCACGTGGACTACTTTTTGGTGCCGTTTTGGAGCTTGACATTTTGGAGAGCCTTCTAAACATCCCTTTCTATGTTCCATGGGTTTGTAGCCACATGAAAGTGAGTACATGATGACAAAAGTTCCCTCCTCTCATAGGCAGTAGAATGAAATGTGAATAACCACAAGCCACAATGAAGACAGACGGTAAGTTCTAGATAGATCTCCAGTGGATGTCAAGAGACCCTTGAGTGTCACACACAATCAACACTTCACACTGTTCACCACTGGAGACTGGTCCCTATAGCAAGATGAGCTGACTAATGCAGTCTTGGAACATGGTTTGCAATACAATTCACTCTCAAACTACCATATAATGTAGTTTGAGAATGCAATGCAATGCTAAATGAATAAACGTAAAGTATCATATAATGTGCTTTGGTGTTTTTAAGGGCGTTTATGCTTTAGTTCAACTGCTTTGTCATATTCTCAGAGTACAACTTGTACAACATCTTCTCACCTTGTACCTCTGCAAACTGTGACACATCCATCCCTTCCTACACGCATGTAACTGGAGGGAATATACAGTTATATATTCACCACCAGATGCCAGTCAAGAGCCTACATTAGAATTACAAAACATCAATACATGGTCAACAGAATCTAACATATAGACTTAAATAGCTATTCAGTTGCTCGTCTTCTCTAATAGTTGTCATCAGGTTTGGTCATTATGGTTGGTGACTATTCTACTAAACAATATGTGGTTCAGAAACATGTTCATGTGTTGGATCACTAAAAGAAATAAAATAAAATTGTCATGATTTACTCACCCTCATGTCATTCCAAGCCTGCATGGTGTTATTTCTTGAGGGAAAAACAAAAGAAGTTCTGAAGAATGTCCTTGTTCCTCTTTTCCATGCAATTACAATGAACGGGGATTGACAAGATTCACAAATGCACACCTCACATTCATCCTGTGAATAAGCATGGCAAACTCTTCAGAAGTCAGCACAAGACATTCATGCTTTATTAAAAACACGACAAGGAGATATAAAAGGAACATCTTTGCCTCACATATTGATACACAACCTTGGCAGGAATGTTTTACATGGTAGCACTTTGGCACAAGCAGCTGTTTACTATAGCTGTCTTTACTATGAAACAAATATCATTCAAATCTACAGTTTAGCAACAGTTAGAACATTTCTGATAGATTACTGTATATGAAGAAAACGGTATTCAACGCGAAGGTATCTGAGGAATATCTGATCTTAGCAACAAGGGTTGTGACGGAAATACAGCCATAAATTGTGGTGAGATGCAGTAATGCATGTCAAATGTTATTGCACTATTCATTATGTACAGCAGGATGAAAGAATGGAAAAATTAACGAATGCTCCAATCTCGGCAAACATTCATTGAGTCTACAATCATTTTTGGAATTAAATTTGCAACATGGCAGTGTACGCAAGCGTGAACCCCATGAAAAATTTTAAGAAATGTCCAGGTCATGTGTCATCCCGAATTCAAAAGGGGGGACAAATGCTATTTTTAGAACATTTAAGGTTTTTTTTTTTGCATTGCAACATTATTTTCATGGCAGTTAAGTGCTTTTTAATTTCAATAGCAATACTGCAAAAAAGACAAATTATTTTAATTAGCTATGCACTAATGTTGACTATTATTTTTACTATTAAAATGTAATAATTTTCTTGTTACACTCTTAAAAATAAAGGTTCCAAAAGGGGGGTTTCACAGCGATGCCATAGAAGAACCAGTTTTGGTTCCTCAAAGAACCTTTCAGTGATCAGTTCTTAAAAGAAACATTTTTCTTCATGTTAAGAACATTTTAATAATCTAAAGAACCTTTTTTCACTGTAAAGAACCTTTTGTGGAATGAAAAGCTTCCATGGATGGTAAAGGTTCTTTGTGGAACCACTGATGCCAAAAAAGAACCTTTATTTTTAAGAGTGTATGGCCGATAACCGATAAATCAAACCGATATTGATACTAAAATTCTATAATATTTAGTCTAAATACATTAAAAATAAAGCACTGAATAAAAATAAAGTATTTTAAATGCTACAAGTAAATTTAGGCATCACAACATTGTAAACAACTATAATGTACAGTACAAAAAAATAGATATTTATTTTGATATTTGCTGAAGACATAAAACATGTCTTTTTTAAATATAAACTTTAGATGAGCATTAGCAAAAACCAAAGACAATCGAAATGCAAAAAAACTATGTCCAATTAAATATATGCAACATTAACCAATAAGTTATCAATATACAATATAGTGTATACCTAATTTAAATTATAAAGTATATTTTTAAAGTGCAATTTTATGTGTAAATAATGGTTGCATTCAATGTATTAAATTTATGCTGACTTTTGTTTTAAAAATAATTGGGTCTGGACATTTTACAGTACTGAGAGTTTACAGTTATGAGAATGTGGAAGGGAGAAATTGTGTTATAAAAATGTCACAATGCATGTTATTAATGGTCCTTTTTTGATTTTGGGGGTAAAATATGACCCAGACGTTTCTCCATAAGATTCACCTGTAAAATCCCCCTCTTTTCCTGTCGTTCTGCTGATCACCTGATTTATCTTTGTCACGCCATACGTCTGCCTACTTCCTGTGCCCATTAACCTCTGCTGATTACACTCTGGATATTTCTTCCCTCAATCTTCCTCTCTCTGGTTGAATTGCACTGATTGGCACCTCTGTTTCTGCAGGTAATTAGCTGCATCCACTCGAGGTGTGCGGAAGACTCCGGGTGCGTCGGTGTTCCCGCACAGGCATCTGTTTTTCTGCCACACGCAGCTACTTATTAGCTCCTTTAAAAATTGGGCACAAATTAGAAAATATTTACACACTCAAGAGTGTGCCGGTGCAAGTAATTCAGCCAGTGAGAAAATGAAAAAATATCTCAGCCTACGAAACTAAGTGAAATATAAAGATGATGATGTTAAAGGTGACCTGTGCATGCGTGGTTGGGTATTACAGCGTACAGCTCTGTCTGTCTCTGCCGGGTGTGAGAACACAGACTCTCATGTTCCTGGGCAAATTTCAGTAGAAGAAATGTCCAGATGATATTTCAACACAAAATAAACGCGAAAAAACTAAATATGATATAATGAAGGCAGTCTGAAGTGTCTCTAAAGCTTTAAAAAGTCACAGTATACTAAACTGTACCATATTTGTGTTCCAGCCATTGTAATTATTTAATTAAACACAATTATAACATAATAAAAAATTATTATCATTAAATTTAATCGGGCATAAAAGGGGGATTTTTTATATAAAAAAGTAATATAAATTATTATTTATTCTAAATATTCAATAATTATAAAATTAAATAATTCTATGTGAAACAATAGTTTTGTAACATGTTTAACAATTACCAAATACCAAAGTGTACCATATTTTTGGAAGTCTGATCATTAATTTTTTGTTCATTGTGACATTATTTTCTCCTAGGCTACTTACAATTGCATTTATAACACTGCACCCGTTTACCTAGAAATTTTGGAGCACTTCATGCTTCTTTCTGCTGACCAGCTTTTTGAAGATGCTGATTTCATTTTCCAGCAGGATTTGGCACCTGCCACACTGCCAGAAGCACCAAAAGTTGGTTAAATGACCATGGTGTTGGTGTGCTTGACTGGCCAGCAAACTCACCAGACCTGAACCCCATAGAGAATCTATGAGGTATTGTCAAGAGGAAAATGAGAAACGAGAGACCAAAAAATGCAGATGAGCTGAAGGCCACTGTCAAAGAAACCTGGGCTTCCATACCACCTCAGCAGTGCCACAAACTGATCACCTCCATGCCACGCCGAATTGAGGCAGTAATTAAAGCAAAAGGAGCCCCTACCAAGTATTGAGTACATGTACAGAAAATGAACATACTTTCCAGAAGGCCAACAATTCACTAAAAAAAATTTTTTTATTGGTCTTATGAAGTATTCTAATTTGTTGAGATAGTGAATTGGTGAGTTTTTGTTAAATGTGAGCCAAAATCATCACAATTAAAAGAACCAAAGACTTAAACTACTTCAGTCTGTGTGCATTGAATTTATTTAATACACAAGTGTCACAATTTGAGGTGAATTACTGAAATAAATTAACTTTTCCACGACATTCTAATTTATTGAGATGCACTTGTATATAATTTCAGTAAACATTAGGGTTATGAGAGATTTTAGAATTTGATAATGAGAAAATAATGTCTTAAAGCAATACATTTCCATTTATTGTAATGGGATTAATTTATTTTATGTAATTTATGTATTGCATTTCATGTAAAATTTTATGCACATTTTATTGTTTTTCTCGTCTTTAGATTTTTTTGAGAAAATATGACCCAGACATTTCTTTTCAGTAATTTCACCATGGGCTATGAGCTCATAGCAACTTGGGCTATGAGCTTCTCCACCCTTCCACATCTTCCATTCCAATGCAAGCAAACACTGTTGTGTTTTTTGACTGATCGCTGACCGATTATAAAGTATTACACCACACACTTACATTAACATATTCCTGATTTCAGTTGATTATTATTGTAACTACATTATGTGCTACTGCTAACCGATGTGGAAAGTAAAAATGTGCGTCCCCAGTGACGGACCCGGGGGTTTCAGGCGTGAACATATAACTGTGGATAAAACACTGCTCTAGGATCAGAGGTGGACGTTTATCTGTGGTGTGGGAGAGGGGGAGAGGGCTGGTCTGGGTTCAATGCCTCTGCTCTTCATGAACGACAGCAGCTGGTCGGGGATCTCGGCCAGTACATCTTTGGCCAGTCGGGCCATGCTGAGCACCTGGTTCCCGGATCGGTCGATGTAGTCCCGGAACGGCACAAACTAGAGAAATACAAAGATGAATCTTATTAAAAACAGCTTTTTAATTGCACTAAACAATTTAAGGTAAGTGATAAAAAAGAATAATATAATATAATATATGTGGGAAAACAGTAATGTAAAATGACATAGTATTCACATAAAAAATGCATTTGTGCCTGTAAAGCTTTAAAAAGTCATGGGATACCAAAGTTTTAACTTATAGAACCACTTACTGTAATCACTTAGTTAAACATAATAAAAACTATTTAAAATCAAAAGAGCTCAATTGAGTGTGTTAAATTTATTCAGGGTATAAAAAAGGAAAAATTATTCTTATTCTTCTTATTATTATTCCAGTATTCAAACTTAAAAAGGCTTTTTAACTTCACAAAAAAATGCAAAGTAAGTGGTAAAAAATAATATAATATTTTATATAATATATAAAGATTTTATATGATATAATAAAAAATAATATAAAAAATGATACATCAAAACTACTTACTGTAATTATTTATTTAAAAATAATTCAAACCTAATTTTAATAAATAAATAAATAATGTTAAATTTAGTACTGAAACGTAAAAACATTTTATTTTATTTTTTTAAATGTAAGGCAGGTGGAAAAGCATATTAAAATTACATACAAATTCTATAATATAAATAATGATTTCATATTATATTAACAATTATAAATATTTAAAAATCCTAAAATAAATTGTTTATTTGTGACACAATTAACATAACCCATAGTTTTCAAAACTAAAATATATATATATATATATTTGTGTCTCTAAAACATTATAATCTCATGGGATACCAAAGTGTGTAAACATATCAGCACTCTTTTTTTCTCAGTTCTCATTCTAATAATTCTCTTTTTTTCTGCCATGGTATATTGCTGTATGTTTACTGTCTGACTGCTTGTCCTGAATGTTGTACTTTGCAACAGTTTTAAAGCTTTAAAAAAATAGAATTGAAGTTTTAAATAGGCTTTTTGATTGCACAAAATAAATAAATTAAAATGGCAAAAAAGCAAGTGGTAAAATTCTAAATATTAAATACAAGGGGAAAAATCTATTTATTTATTTTTTTTCAGAATTGAAAAAAAGACCAAAAGATGGACCACATTAAGATGGATAACATTATGTACCTGGACAATGTCTCTCTCAGCAACACGTCCCCTGGAGGACACCCTGACCTCATCCCCATCCAACTCTTCCATTGCTGTTACATTAACACGAGAACAGTTACATCAAATATTATATTCTTATTTTTGAGAGCATCTGTGTTTGCAGTGCCACAATCTCACCATCAAATTCAGCAGGGCCGACTCCCACAATTATGATTGACATGGGCAGAGACGCCGCCTGTAAACAGGGAAGGGGCAGCAGTATGTGATCAATACCTTGCTAAAAAGATTATTGTATTTACAGAACATTGTGAAGGTCTACAAGCAAAAATGACTCACGGTGACCACGGCTTCTCTAGTCTGTACCATGTCGGAAATGACACCGTCTGTGATGACCAGCAGCACGAAGTACTGAGAGCCATCTGTCACCTCTGACGCGCACCTGAGGATTTACAGAGTTAAACGCCTCTATATTTAAGCAAAACAAGAATATGCTTCTCAGAAACTGAAAATGATGCAGTATGGTTGCACTAAAACGTCTCGGTAACGTATGTAACCCTCGTTCCCTGAAGGAGGGAACGGAGACGTCACGTCGGAGGACCGACGAAATTGGGATCTCGCTTAGAGGGACCAATCTACTTCGAGTGTAAACTAAACGAGCCAATGCACATTGGCATGCGATTATTGCATCCAGCTGCTGCTGATCACAGCGTGAGTATAAGTAGGCAGCAGGTGCAGCGCATATTCAGGTTTTCGCTGAGGAGCCGAGCCGGTGACCCGGCCGCTCAGCGGTGGTACAGGAGCTGTGGCGACGGGACGTGACGTCTCCGTTCCCTCCTTCAGGGAACGAGGGTTACATACGT